AGCAACGATGGGTGAGACCCATGGTGTTGGCTGATTTTCAGGTACTGGCTCTATGATATCCTGTCTTTGAAGCTCCTTCACAGCGTCCTGTACTTTCTGACGAATGTGAAATGGGATTCTCCTTGGGGGTTGAGCCTTTGGTATAACCTCTTGATTAATGTTGAGCTGCACTTCAGTGTCTCTGAGTTTTCCTAAACCTTTGAATACATCACGATATTTATCCAGCAAAGTTGAAAGTTTCTCATCTGTTACATCAACGGGCTTAATTGCACTTAGATTCAAGCTGATAAGTCCTAACTCCTGTGCGGTAGCCATGGATAGCAGACATCCTGAATCTTTGCTGCTCACAACGTAGAATGTTGAGACACAATATTTTTGCTTTGTTTCGACAAGAGCTTCAAATTTTCCTTTGAAACAGACGGGCTGTTTTGAACTGAAGGCAAATGCCTTGACCTTGGTTGGACGTAATTCAATTCCCTCTAATTGTTGAAAGGCTGTGTTGTCCAACACGTTGATGGAGGCGCCGGTATCAATCATTATTGATATTGGCTTTCCCGCAATAGAAATTGTTGTTGTAGGACACCCTGTGGATTTCTGTTGTATTGTGTAAACGTATTCCTCGTCGCTAGACTGTGTCGAATAATTCAATGGCTTGACTGAGAAACGTTGAGGTTTGTTTGGCCTACCGGATTTCGGTCTCTTGTCCTGAGCTGCACTCCGACATACAGCTGCAAAATGATTCGATTTTGCACATTTATGGCATGTTTTGCCATACGCTGGGCATTGATCCTTTGGGTGTCGTGCACCACCACAGCTTCCACATTTCGGGGGTACAGTCAATTTTTGTTTACCTGCCTTGTTTGAAGCCGTAAACCGATGAGTGTATTGTTGCATGTCTTCTTTTGACTCAATTTCCTTCGCTTGGAATTCGCTCATTTCATCCCTTCTGCCATCAAGTAACATATCTTTTAGCGAATAGTCTGGGTCACGTAACGCTTTTCTTCTAATTTTGTTAGAAATGCCTCCAACAATTATTTGTTCCTCGATTTCGAAGTCGGTATCCGTAAAGGTACAATTGACAGAAAGATGTCGGAGCCGTGTGTGAAAATGATCTAAGGTCTCCCCTTGTTCCTGGCGAGTTTGGCGAAACTTGTACACTTCATACCGACGGTTTGTTTGAGGCTCGAAATATGCAGTGAGTTTATCACGAGCCAGTTCATAATCAGCGGCAGCGCCTGTATCAGGAATCTGGCTGAAAATTTCGCGAACTCGGGAACCTGCTTGATGAAGTAAAATGGCTCGTTTGCGTCCAAGATCTCTTATACCACTGGCAAGAATATATGTGTCGAAATCACGAAGCCATTGTCGCCATCTCGTAGAAAGACTAGCACCAACTTCAATATCTGGATCAAATTCAGGAAGTGGGTGTAGATTTAGACTGAAAGCCATCCTTCATAACATATGCTATGTTATTATGGTTTTATCCTCGTCGCCAATGTTATATTCTCTTAATTCCGTAGGCCAATTCATATAGAAGACACTTCGTTTACTTTCATATTCGAATCCAAAACACAACTGAACTAAAATTCCATAACACCCTTATTAATATAACAAAGCATAACAAAACAATTGTTGCACAGGGCAACCAAAGCAAGGTTCAGCATATTACTCATAATAATAATAATAATGAAGGTTCACTTTATGACAGTATCGATTGTGTCCTTAGTGCCCCCGGTTTAGATGTTTCTGGTGAAAAGTGACAATTACAAGGAATGATAAATTGGAAAGATCCATCACCTACCTCATATAATGTGCAGCATCATACCTGACCAGGTCAGTCAGGTTCGTGTTGATATACTTCGTAAATACACTTAACTGCCCACCACCGGTTTCAACGTAGGGGATCTTATTTTTGTCAGTCCATATTTCTATGCCTACCAAAACAAGGCGAACATTGATAGCTGCAAACACCTAAAATGGTAGCATCATTAAAATAGCAGTAGTTTCTTGTAACAGCACCTAATGAAATTTAATCTCTATCAGTTTCAAATGGGCAAAGACTGTATATCTTTTTGCAATAGGCCTTTGATCACCACGTACTTGAGAAACTTTGCAGTAACAAACATTCGCCTTTTGCTCGTTTTTGGCCTAAAATCCACGCCTAAAATGGAGTGGGACTGCCATCAAAAACCTTGTGACGTCGTCAAGAAGTCTTGACGAGGACTGTAAGCTGTAAAACACGATAGTTTCAGAAGCCATTTTAATCAGTTATCCCCAATTCAAAAGTTCCACAACAAATTTCGCAACAGATTTCGTCTTTTTCTGGTGACTATTAAACAAATTACGATGATATCAAACTCCAAAATGGTGACTAGTGGACATCAAAAAAAGTTTAACGAGGCTACATATTTATCATGGTTTCATTTCAATCTACAAGGCTTTGAGGAAAACTTCCCTCCTCGCATGAATAAAGTTTTGTTTGCAATGTTTGGTAAAGTTGGGGTTTCCAAATTTATTCTGTTTTCGTTTACCTATGTTTGAACCAACGATTTGATGATATTACAACACATACCAGCTTTATATGACAAATTATATTCATGTTTACGGTATAGTATAAAGGTATGAAGTTACCTAAACGAAACTTGATTTGCACTGTACGATTATAAATTTATGAATTTTCATTTCAATTTTCAAACGACATTTTAAGTTAAAAAAGTTTTTAAACCAAAATAAACAAATTCGTTGTTTATAACTTCACATCTTCTTAAAGAACCATGCTTAAATTCCTCGTTATTTAAAAAGCGTTTCTCATGTAAACAGTAATTCATATCAATGTGCGCAATTGAAAGCGCCTGTGTGAAATATGGCAGCTAGCTTAAGTTTTAGATAGAAAACAGCCGGCCGAAACACAAATAAATAGATTTTAAATAAAACAGCGTCATTATGACAACTCCTTTAAAATTGATTCAGTAGAAACTATTCAGTAGGGCTGAATAAATGCATGGGCGATTTGATGAGCCATCCTCAAGAATTGAAGTATATTCAGGTTACATCAGATGCTCCTATCAAAGCACCATTAGAAAGAGATTCTCAAATTTCAAATCACTAATGCTCTACATGAGAACAGATTGTTTGCAAAGCTGAGAGAACTTTATCTTTAAACCAATTGATCTTGACAGCAAGGCGAGATGTTTAATCAAAGAATTAATTGAGTTTCTCTCCTATCTTTTCCAGCAATATTTCACCTTCAAACGACGCTTAATACATTTTCAGCTGGCTCAATTAATTTTTCTTGCGTGAATTTAAAAAATGAGACTTACTAGCCCAGATGCTGTTTTCTAGATTTATAATAGACTTGAGATCTTTTGCACTCTCAAATAAGATAGTATTGCTAAGTTGATGTCAAGAGATTCTCAATGAGATACTCACAATGCTGCCAGACCAAAAAGAATGCAGAAGCCCCTTCTAACAGGCATTGTCTTCATTGAGTAAAACTTTAGATAGTTACCACATGCATACAAATCATGAAGAGAATAATAATACGCACACTATCAGCTGTTTGCATCATCTTTAGCATTCTTAAAAGCACCATTTCTTTGCTTCTGTTGTTCCTAACATACTGAAAAATGCAAACATTTCTTTAATTCATTGCTACAATGTTGAATGCAGACAGAATCATTAACATGACTTTAAAAAGCCTTGAAAAGATATTTGTAATAAGCACAAATTTAGCGACTCACAATGGCATTATCAATGACCAATAGCATCTCGCAATAGCGTGTCTTGTTCGTAGCAGGATACTTGGCATAAACAGGATCAATATCTGGAACTATTTGCTGCAAAGGAAAATATTTTCACTACATCTACAAGACTTGACGTAGTTTATACAAGGTATAGTTTTAATTATTCTAATTATTTGATTACTCATATTACCAGCATTTGCTCAAGAGATCTTGAGTTTGGGGTATTAAAAGTTTGATGGGCAAGGAGAATAATAAAGGATATTGCATGAGTGTTACGCGATGTAGAATAGGATGAACATATTACGACATTGGAATTTTGCGTAAAGAATAATGAGCCTTTTTGCCAAAGTCCTTTTACTTTGCTTAGTGCAGGTAAAAACCGCAAAAACATCATTCCAGAATAAATAGAACATGCGGCATAAATTCAAGAAAATACGGTACCACCCTGGTTTAAGAAAGTGTAGCCTGTAAGCTTGTCGTTATGAATAGCAAACAGATTTTCTCGTACCTCTTTCAGTAAAACCTCATCATTCGCTTCATCCATCGTCGCCGAAACAGTGTCATAACTCTCATCATTCTCCACTTCCACAAAATCATTATTGAAAGGATGGATTCCTTGGAAATAATAAATAAATGCAAATTGATGCAAATAAATCAGAGAGACAGAAAATTTCGACTAAAGAATGGCATATAATGATAAATTCTTATATTCGTTGAAGGCAAATTTGATTCTGAAATTATCATAAAAATCGATTAACAAGACAGACAGGCTTTGAAAAGCAGCAGAAACAGACTTGGCAAAAGTCAGGAAAATTCTTGTCAAAAAATGGCCCACTGCATCTTATTATTGCTTTGAATATGCCTCGGAGGTGCAGCGGTTGGCTGTTTTCTCAAAGGCTTTAGGAATAAAAGTTTTGTATTTTATGATCTTAGCTCTAAGGTTCGGACCTTTCTGTATTGCTAAAGAGAATTAGGAAATTCACCGGTAGATCTTATAGAAAAAGGGGAAAGGGATTTTCAATGTAATAGAACGCGATTAAAGATCAAAGAGCATTAGCTATTTCAATAATGTATATACTTTTAACAACACAATAAATATTTCAATAGATTGGATAGTTACCAAGCATCCGTTTGTTAAGATCATCCTTATCAGGCACAACTTCACGAATAACATGAGCACCAGTGACCTGTCGAATATAAACAATTGCTAGAGACTTTTAGGCCTTTATCGATTCTACCTACAATGGCAATTAGAACTGAAAATTTATAAACAAATGAACTTTTTATTCAAATGAAATAGGTTTTATAAAGACGCTACGTACTATTAGAGCATTTAGACAACTTTATTAATATTTGTCAATGCAATGCTAATTTTATCAATTAACTATGTTAATACAAACCTTTACATTTTCAAGAGGTTCAATGCTAAAAACCTTGCCTTCATCTTCAATTGTTCCTCTGTTGAAACCGTAAAAATGTACTTTTATACTCGTATGTATCAACAAATCTATAGTCTGCGAAGTGCAAACTACAAACTATCTCTTTAGACTACAAAATTTAATGTGAAAGCATCCCGCAATCAATGCTCCCAAATAATCCTGAGTCAAATTCAATTATACCAAGAAAATTATGTAGAAGATTGTCAAAACTTGTATGCTTTTACTGTAATTTTGCTTTTCTACTTTTTAGATGCTTCTTAAGTTAATAATCCTAGATAAGTATCAAAGGAGTGGT